AGAGAGAGAGAGAGAGAGAGAGAGAGAGAGAGAGAACTCTAAAAGAGATGACTTAAATTTGTCTTAGGTCGGGTTCACACCTTGATCAAAAAACGGAAAATGGAAAAGCAATAGCCAATCAAAACTCGCGTTGATAATAAGTAGTACAAAACTAACAGAAATTCAACTACCAGCGCGAGTTCTGATTGGCTACTGCTCTTCCACTTTCCGCTTTTCCGTCAAGGTGTGAACCTGGCCTTATGCGTTTAATTTCCGCTTATTTGGCAATCGTTAGAAATTAATATTTTGTTAGTTACGTTCAACCTACTTGCCTATAAGCGGTGTGTCACAAAAGTTTGAGACACTGTATATCCAAAAGATTATTTAGGGAATTTTCGAATACATATACACGTATATACTCGTATTCTTATAGTTATTTATACATATATATCTCATTATATATGAGTTGTAACTTTAATTTTCAATTGACATAAAATTACGTATTTTTAAAAATTACAATTAATTGCGCCGATAACAAATAAAAACTTGTACATTATATTTATCTCAATGAAGAAAAAAATCGTGAAATCCGCCTGCGCGTCGTTTTGTTGAAAACGAATGAATGGAAGCTTAAACGAAGTACCCTCTTCGCTACTAGTAGAAAGCTGAAAAATAACGTACATGTAACAGATAAACAAGGAAAACGTGCGATGTCTGCGATAATAAATTCGGAAGAGAACCGAAAAATTGTTGAAAGGAAAATAAGATAAAAAAGACTTTTTCTACTCGGCGCGTTCATGAAATGAAACAATGTATGAAAAGATATTATATGAGATGGTAATATGTCGAAGTTGATGGTAATGAACGGGGCAATTAGTGACATGCAAATGTAAAGCAACGATAAACATATACAAAGTTGAGGAAAATTATTTCGTTAACTAAATAAGTACAAATGTCATACGAAATCTGTAGAATTGATAGGAACCGGAACTCACTAGGGCCAGGATGCGAAATAATTACGAGAAATGTACCATTATGCTAGATGTCCCTTTAATCAAAATAAATGATATTACAATATCAGGATATAAACTCAGTACTCAATATGCAGTGTAACGTAAGAACGTAAGAAGATAGATCAAAGTATACAAATAAAATGTCGGTTATCTCGATTAAAAAGCGATAATCGAGATGATGTCTTGGTGATCAACAATATGAGGTGACTAGGAAATTTGACTTCTAACAAAATTTTTTTAAACAAGAGAAATTAAATAAAAAATACAAATTGTAATTAAAACGATATATATTGAGGAGATGAGAAATGCGAGGCTATAGATGATAAAAGAGCGAAAGTAATATGGCAGAAAAATAAAGATAAAAAAATCAGTTACTGAAGAAAAAGATAAGGATAGGTAAAACGGAAGACCGCCAAGAAAGGAGGGGAAAACAAACGACCTGAAATTATAGTCCAAAGTGGAAATGTAAGAGAAAAGGGTGCAGCTATGGTAATTGATATTAGTAGTGTAGGTGAAACGATAAAAATATGCGAAGATTGAATGAAAAGTATCCCGAAGAGAATGGAGTTGAACTCGATGAATTTGCTCGTGAACGCGCAAATATTTATAGAGTAAGATGCGAAAGGAGTAAATATACATAGCATTGTTCATCGTGAGGAGAAACGAAAGGTGAGAAAGGAGGAGATAATAGGATAAGATTTAATTAAATAAATTACCGGTAGTGTGTTGTCATGTAATAATAAGAGAGATAATTATTTATTTCATTTTATTCATCCATTTTATTTATGCATATTAAGTCGGACAGTTAAAATAACGACTGAATGTTTCTTATGGATATATGTGTCATCTCAAAGCATCATAAAAAATATATAAATTATATAGATTCCTTCTATTGTTATAAACGCGCGCGCGTCTTGTATGAGCACAATTCTCTTATTAATTTAACAAATATTTAATTTCTTTTGTTTCCCTTGATCTTTATGTAAAACTACGTTTTGTAGTAGGTACTTATTTTTGATAAGGTCATAACATTATAAATTAAATTAAAGTTTTTTTATATATATATAAGTAATGAAATTTTTTTATCAATATTTTTTGTGCAAAAATTCATTTAGATTGATTTATTTATTTAAAAATTATTTACGTAAAACTGCAACAAAATATGGTTATTTCATTATTTCATTAAGCTATTAGACATTGTTGTTTGTTTTCTTACAGTTAGTTTCAAAACGTCTTGTTTTAGAACGATAAAAATTTTTAGGTTGATATTAGTTAATAGTAGCTTGATTTTTAATTGATATTTGATTGATATCGTACAAAACATTCTTAATTTCTAAATAACTGTTTGAATAAATAATATCAAATCTTATTCATTAGTATCTTATATATTAGTATATAAATTCACGGGAAATTGTTATATGTAAGCAATTAAAGATCCAAGCTAGACTGTTATAGGCTTCCTATTCGTATTAGTTATGTCCTTACATTAACGGTTTTTAGTATTGAATATTGCTAATTTGATATTGTTTGTTTACGTCGTCTGAAAATAGACGTTGGTATCTACTTATGATTATTGCGAAGAATATTACTAAGGCCTCAGTAGTCTAGGATACTTGTGGGTAAAGCAAGCGATTCAGGTTCGACTCTCGGCCGAAGTAATATTTTTCGTAATATAATTAAATTATTTACAGATTTTTAATATGTCATTCAACATATTATAAGATTCAAGATGCAATGAGCATCAAAAATTGCTAGATTCTTAGTCAATTTAACTCGTAATACTGCGGTAGTTTATCAGTTTGCATAAGTCTGAAAAAAATTTCGACGCCCATTTAGGGATCTACATACGTATATAAATTTATACGAAATTATATTGAAAGCATTCAAGCTTCAGTTTGACCGTAAATGGCTTATTCTCATTGGATAACTGCTTCTTTGTTTCTTTTTTTAGATTGTAACGACAATGCAATTAGGAGAGTCAAGGTTAACTAATCGAGAAATATATTTAGCCTACTATAAGTAGGCATAAGTCCAGAGCAAGTTCGATTACTGTGGAAAATGATGGACTACTCGAAAGAATAACAGAGTTAACTGGTATAACATAGGATTGGCTTGGTATTAATATACCATAGATAAACAGAATTAAATGGGGAGGGATTGCAGATTATTCGAGTTGAAAGCGGAAGGAGTTTTTCGTTGAGGGAAATGTAAATAAGTGCTTAATATTCCATTAGAGTAAATCTCTATAAAATATCATAACCGAGAACAAAGAATAAGGGAATGAATATGAAAATACGATGAAACACAACAGTACGATAAATACGAGGGTTCGTATGAAAAGTGTGAGGTAGACACACGGTGGCTCGGGATAACTTAGCTCTTCATTTTTTTTTTTTTTTTCTTTCTCTTTGTCCCTTTTCTTTTGCTCTCATTAAAAAGAGCCGTACAAAGTGTGGAGCGAGCGAGCGATGTGAAGCTGAAAACCCAGCGTTTCTCGAAGCACAAGTAGGCTAAAGTGGAAATACGGGGGCAGCAGTAGCGGATCGGGTGGTGAAGAATGAGGCGAATGGTGGCGGTGGGCGCAAAAGGGGGTAGGAGTGGGAACTATGACGTCATCGTTGAGGGGTTGCCCGGGCAACGGGAAACGTTCGCCGCGTCGGGATGCCGACGCGCGTCGCCACCGCCGCCGCCGCCGCCACCGCTGCCGCCGCCGCCGCCGCCGTCGCCGTAAAAATCAATTTAGACCTTGGCTAGGTGACCGCTCCGCGTTCGCACGGCGTTGCTGCGACGCGGCCGCTCCGCTCTCTCTGGCGAGGCGACGAGAGCCACGCTTCTCTGGAGGTGCCGGGCTGCCGACCCTGCCGACTGCCACCACACCGCACCACTACCACGAACCACACGAGCTCGGGGCCACGGGCCAAGCTCCGGTAGTCACGAGCGGCCAATTCATCGAGCTGGTGCTCCGATCGTGGTGCTGGCGACGCGACGCGTCGGTATCGCGTGCGTAAAGGCATATTACATGCGCTCACACAATACATACACACGTACGCGTAACATATATACACATTTACATGATACAACCGTTACGTATACGCACGGAGAGACGTCAGTGCATACACGCAGCCACGCGTGCGTACGCACTGTTCGCGCGCGCGACATGAAGCATCCCGCAGCGGGAGGAGCAGCGGTGGAAAAGCTCGGATGAGAGAGCACTACTCGCGCATAAAGTGGTATTGGGTATATAGCGAGAGAGAGAGAGAGAAAAAGAAAGCGGACGAGAGAGAGAGAGAGAGAGAGAGAGAAAAAGAAAGCGGACGAGAGAGAGAGAGAGAGAGAGAGAAGAGAGAGAGAGAGAGAGAGAGAGAGTGAGTGAGAGTGAAAGAGAAAAAGAGAGAGAGAGAGAGAAACGAGTTTCTGAGCCGAACATAGTGCGCGCAAGCTTGCGGAGAATAGTCCTGGTGGACGCCTGAGGGGGAAGATCGACGTGGGAGCTTTCAGTGCCGGAGCTTGCGGAGACGCGCTACCAACTCGAGAAGAACTCTATCGTGGAGGTTTTTCGACCGTTCAGCGTGCTGCCGGAACTTCCGGATTAGCTCGTGCCGACGAGTCGCAAGGAAACGGATGAGCTTGACAGTCCTGGATGTGTCGCGGGAGAAAAATCGCGCGATGCTTGCGTAAGCAGTTGCGTACGTCGATAAGATAGTTTCGTATTTGTGCTCCGGCAATTGCCAAGAAGAGCTACCGAGAGGAGAAAAGAGTCCGGGACCATACGAAGGCAGACGCTGCGTGAGAAGCGAAGCGTGATACTCGATTGAAAGATTGCGGGTGTGCTGATTGAATTGTTCAATGAACAAAACTCGCCCGGCATCATCGGGTCTTCGAGCGAACGTCTGTTTTTGTTCTCACGCGATCAAGCACGGCGGAGCTTTCAAAAAGTACGCCGAAAAGCTGCGGACGCTCTTCTTTCGTTGATCGTTTGATGTTTACTCGTAAGCGTTTTTCCCTCTATATTTTATATAAGCGACTTCGGCGAAGCTTCATCTATCCGAATTCCAACTTTACGGATGTGACCGAGTTTACGATTGTGTGCTCGAATAAGAGTGAAGACGGGCTTTACGGAAACAAGAAACAGAATTCTTCTCGTCCAGTTGGCATTTACACGATGGCACTTTAAAAGAAACTTGTAAACTGCTTGTAACATTCTGTGAAAAGCTCCATCTTTACCTGCTACGAAGTGTATAAGAGAAATATTTTACAAAATCTCTATAATGTTCTCGCATAAATTTCTAGACTCATTTTCCTAATTGTGATCATTTTCAGCCATTAAAATACTTTTTCTCGTTATCATTAAAAGATAGCGTTTTGTTGCTTGTTATGTGAATTGATGACGATTGGATCCGGCTCGATAGAAACACGTATTTGAGTCTTGTCAACGAGCAATGTCATCGATAGCCGTTTCTACGAGGAGTGCACTCGTATCTGTGTATAGACTCGACGGAGAGCTCGAAAACTAGAGAATGTAGTGTCCTGCTTGCTGGCGGGAGTTCAAGCTCAGGCTTTTGCGGCGGCCAACCGAACCGAAACAGGTGGAAGATCTCCGGCGCGATACTCTGAAGAGTACCACGAAGAGCTATCGCGTGACTATCGATGATGGTGAAAGGCACGTTGCCAGAACGCGGTTGGTTGGCCCGGCGCGCATCTTCGCTCGGATCGTGCTCTTCTGCGTGCCGGTCATCAGTTCGTTAAGCTCGATATTTTTTTGGAGAGATCGAGCTGGAGGAAGAGAGAAGGAAATTCTAATTGAGGAATGCTAAACGTGAAATGACGTTTTTTGGGATCGTTCTCGAGCTTAGGCCGTCGACGCCGATGTCATCATCATTGTCGTTGTCATCGTCGTCGTCGTCGCCGCCGTCATCATCGTCGTCGCGACGTTGGAGGGGCAAATGTTATTTGGCTAGTTAGTTACATCTCTCCGATGCGATTTTATAACGAATGCAGCGAGACGCGTTGGGACTCGATAAGAATCTGTTTCGACATTTGCATTTTGAAAAGCAGGAGTGACGACAAAAGATCTTTGCGTAAACCGAATTTATTTTCCCGCAAGGGAAAGGTTTGTTGAAAAGATAAGTATACGCAGCTGGGTGAGGCGAGTAGAAAAATAAATAAATTCGTAGATAAAAATAAACGAAATAAGTAGAAGACGGAAGTAGAAGAGCTACCGATAGTAAAGAAGACATAGTAAGTAGATCTTGGACTTAAAAACTAAGATCTGATTAAAGGAACGTTATAGAGAAGCCGAGAACTTGAATTAAATATAGAAATTAGCAATGTGATCGTTCTTTGAGAGAAATCTAGGCCAGAGTATAGTCGCACTACTCGATCGCGCGATGGGTTTGAAGAAGCATAAATCAAACAAATGTCAGTTCGAACTGACCTAACAAGAACCGTGGTAAAAAGTAGCATATTTTGCGCGACAAATCGGAGGAAAAAGTCTTTAAATTCAAAAGATTTATTGAATCTTTATGTAAAAGAAATCTGGAGGGTTGCCAGTTGCAAATATGAAGAGATCGGTTCATAGTTCATTGCAAGAAAACTAATTGAAGTAATCGTCGAGATAGCCACGAATGTTTGAATGACGAGTAGTGCCACAAATTTCAGTTCGTAAATATTCAAATTGGCAAAAAAAAAAAAAAAACACCGCTTTACAGGATTCAAAGATCTTATCCATCGTCAAAGCTATCTACCGTAAGTGATTGATACGAACCGGATCATCGATGTTGGACTTATTACATATACAGATCTAGATTGCAAAGGTTTGTACAGAGAATCGATTTGACGTGTCAGGAGTGGAGTTGCCAACGCTTCGGGTACGGTCAACGCTGGCTCTCCCGCTACCCTGAAGGAAGATTCCACCTTCAAGTATGGCCTCGGTGGCAGCGTGGCTGCCATTCGCCCGTGCGGCGGCGATCGGTTGGGTACCGATCGCCACACACCCACTGCCACCGCCACCGATCCCGAAAGACCGACGTAAGGCCGACGACGAGAAGCTGCTGATCAACGTGAGCGGCCGTCGCTTCGAGACGTGGCGCAACACCCTGGAGAAATATCCGGATACGCTACTCGGTTCGAACGAGCGCGAATTCTTCTACGACGAGGAGAGCAAGGAGTACTTTTTCGACCGGGACCCAGACATCTTCCGGCACATTCTCAATTATTATCGAACCGGCAAGCTGCATTATCCGAAGCACGAGTGCCTGACGAGCTACGATGAGGAACTCGCGTTCTTCGGTATCTTGCCGGATGTGATTGGCGATTGTTGTTACGAGGACTACAGGGATCGCAAACGCGAGAACGCCGAACGGCTGATGGACGATAAGTTGAGCGAGAACGGTGATCAGAACCTCCAGCAGCTGCTCGACATTCGGCAGAAGATGTGGCGGGCCTTCCAGAATCCGCACATCTCCACCGCGGCGTTGGTATTCTACTACGTCACCGGATTTTTCATCGCCGTGAGCGTGCTTGCGAACGTGGTGGAAACTGTGCCGTGTGGCAATCGTCCGGGCCGCGCGGGCACCCTCTCGTGCGGCGAGCGTTACAAGATAGTATTCTTCTGCCTGGACACAGCGTGCGTGATGATTTTCACGGCCGAATACCTGCTCAGGCTGTTCGCCGCACCTAGCCGATGCAAATTCGCGCGCTCCGTGATGTCGATAATTGATGTGGTCGCGATACTGCCGTATTACATCGGACTCGGAATCACCGATAACGATGACGTGTCGGGCGCGTTCGTGACGCTACGCGTGTTCCGCGTGTTTCGTATCTTCAAATTTTCACGCCACTCGCAGGGATTACGTATTTTGGGTTACACTCTAAAGTCCTGCGCTTCCGAGCTGGGTTTTCTCGTGTTCTCGCTCGCGATGGCCATCATTATCTTCGCCACCGTCATGTTCTACGCGGAGAAAAACGTCGACGGTACCAACTTCACCTCGATACCTTCCGCCTTCTGGTACACCATCGTAACGATGACTACGCTGGGGTAAATACAATTTCTTTATTACTTATTATAATTGATGTATTGTAATGTATAGGTATGTATCTGTCCCTCTCTCTTCTCTCTCCCTCTCTCTTTCATACGTTAGTTGGAAACATTACAATACATTATTATTAAATCTTCCACGTTTGTGTTTTTTACATACTTATTTATTGTTATATAAATTTAGGCAAATTATACAGTTATATCATACATATATGTATATACATACAACCCTCCACAAATCAGGCTACACTCAGCAGAGAAAGCAGCTTTGCAATTGTTGTAAAATTCTTCAATATGATTAGTTTATATAATACATTTTATGTAAATCTATAAGAGCCAATCGGTTTTAAGGGCAAATTATATTATAATTTATCTTGTATGAAAAAAATATATTTTGCAACTTTTTAATATATTTCCTCTTCAATGTGTCAATTTTTATCGCTAATTTTAATATGTTTATCTATATGTATGTATATAATTTCAATTGACTAATTTATGTCATCTTTGAATTTGAAAACGGAACGTAATTTTATTATTTAGATATTAAGTTTATGCAAAACTTCTTTACATTAAAAAGCTTGATAATTGATTTTCGCATTTACAACTTATGTAACTTAATATGAAAATAGAGCGTAGTAGTGCACTTACAATGCGTCGAGTTACGTACTATTATATGTAGGTATAGTGGAAGTGAATTGTCCGTTGAAGTACAGTAGAGTTTGAGTATTTGACACAATCTGGTGGCCAACTTTAGTGTCGTTATAACTTTTTAACGAGATCGTCACGGTTCCTTGGCCATATGTAGTATTTTTGTGCGAAACTTTGTTTTGCGGACATTTAATGTTTTGCACTTTTAATTATTTCGATAACGTGCACTTTTCATGTATGCTTTATCATGCACTTTGTCATGCTTTCAAACTTTTTCAAATTATTACTACTTTAATTGACGTGTGAGTAAAGTCTAAAATTAAAATTTAGGATCATAAAACTTGTTTGTAATTCTCATATTTTACAAATATGTGCGTGCATGTGTGTGCAACTTGTGCTTAAAACGGTTTATAATTCATACAAAAGTAATAAATATGCACATGTCATTACACTTATATTAGACTTTTAAAATATTTTAAACATTTTATTTATTATATAATTTGTTAAACATACCTTCATTAAATTTTCTGTTATATTTAAAAAGAAAAGACTGTTCAAAATTTGCCAAATATTCGCTTTATAACACGCTTAGAAATTATATGATAGACTGTTGCAGTATAATTGTAAAACATCAAATCACTAATTATTTAATCTAATCATCGGATAAGTATATTAAATTCCATCTCGTGAAAATATTATCGTGATTTGATGGAGCATTATTCCCACAGAATTTACTCGTCTATAAAATCTTCTTTTTTCCTCTAATTCGCGAATTTTCTTCCTCCCTTTCTCGGTCCAATATCGGAAATGGGCGCCGGCACGATGGAAAAGTCTTGCACGCATCTCTTCCGCAGCCACAAATACAGCTGCACTCGATTCCTCGGAAGCGTTGGTTGTTCCTCTATTATACGACACGGCCGCTATTTCTGCCCGGCCGAATCTATGCCAATAGTATTTTTGTTGCGTTTTCGCTCAGACAGCTGACAATCACACGTGTAATCTGAGTTACCGAAGATTGTCCGATAGTTGCATCTATTTGTTACTATCCGCAGAATTTGGATACAGTTTGTCATACAGGATTACACCTCGCCAACTGTGTTTCTTTCATATAACATTATTACTATCGAACACTTATTATATGACACTATGTTTAGATTTTTTTTTGAAAGTATTCATTGAAAAACAATATTTCATTCAATAATATTCAACTGTCGTTCGTATAAAAAAAAAACGTTTTTGCTGAAATATCTAAAAAAGCTAGATATAGATTTGAAAATAATTTTGTTGGACCAAAATAATTATGTAGGACACTCAAGCATAATAATGATGTAAAACGTTTTGACATTCTAGTAATAAATTGGATCGTCCTACATAATTATTTTAACACTTAGGTAGGTCTAACAAAATTATTTTTAGATTTATTCTATATTTTCAGATTTTTTATTTACTTTAGCTACTTTCATTATTTTTTCTGCAGGTATATTGACTATTGCATAAATGTCAGATCTCTATTAAGTTAGCAGGACTAAACAAAATGAAATCGAAAATTTATTAAAATATTTAATATTTTATTTTGCATCAAATTGTATTGTTAAAAATAATTTGGTATAAAAAATTTTGTATTAAATTATATTTTTAAGATAGTACACTCCTGATAATACCATTTAAAAGTTAAGTTCTACTGTTACGTTCTAAAAGTTAGGTGAGATACTTTTACTCTCGTCAGTGAGAGATAATTTTTGGTTGTGTTTGCCGATCCATAGAATTCCGTATGAAAAAAATAAATATAGATAATGCAATTCACATTGCTGTACTTACTCTCTTTAATTTACGTGACAGATTGACAAATGTTTATGAAAATTGTATTCCTTTCACAGTTCTGTTTTTCAAACTAAACAGTAATAAATTATAACATTTTTTACACAATATTATCTGTTTCATATTTCTCCATTGCATGCTCGTTTTTTAATAACATATCTGTTAATTTAGATTTTATAAAAATAAACACGACATTTCCATTTTCATGAAATTTTATACACGACACGTATAAAAAAAAGTACAGTTTTTAATTGCTTATATCTCTCAAGGAAATCACTTACACATCGATATTTTAAGAGTTTTTCGTTTTCACTTGAGAAGGTACTTATCTTTTAACATGTATTCTTATCGCTTTACAAGTAAATGTAACAGCTACATTCAAAGATACATTTGTATCTGGTAATCCATTTTAATCAATTCACTAAAATATCTCAAAATTTGTAAGTTTAAGACAAAAATGTTTCAAACAAAGGTTACTTACAAGAGAACTTTGCGAGATGTTAAGATTTTAATGAAAATTTGTGTACATATAGGCTATGTAAAAAGATGAATTTAAAAAATATCAGTTTTGGCGGAAAAATGTTTTAAAGGAGTTAGATTATCTCTTTTATGTGTAAAGCGGTTTTTTTCGTTATATCTCGGGAACTATTTCAGATATTAAAAATATTTTATATACAAAAGTTTTACAGTAAAATTACCTCTATTCATGTCAATATTTTTTTAGAATTATTAAAAAAATTTTTTTAACAAAAAACTTTTTTTAAAGCTATTGGGGGAAAAAGTAATGATCTTAGCTGACCTTAAGAAGATAAAATAACTCATACGACTTATTTAAAATATATAAAATAAATTCCAGAAACTTATTACTAGTTTAATAGACGTAAAACTGAGCATCAAGAGAGAGAGGATCGGTAATGATCGCTAAATTGGATAGAAATAAATCTTGTTTCTTTTATAAAAGAAATCTTCGACAGAAAGGAACTTGAATCGAGAAATAAGGACAAACTAAAGAATAAAGATATTTGTTAGAACATTTTTATTCTGGGTTTCTCTTATAGATACTATTTATCTCAACATTATAAGAACCATTATTGTTCTTGCGGCTTGTTCTTCAATATACAAATAGAGAAGCGTGGCAATAGTTACATGGCACTTTCTATGCAAATTACATTCTTCAAATAATTTTATGCAAAACTATTTTGTTTAACATTATTGCAGACGAAGTGTGAGTATGTAGTTTCGCTAGCTAGAAGATTGAGATTTCCTTAGAGCATTAAACGAAGTTCGTAAAATAGCGCAAAAGATAACCTCGGCATTGATCTGGATTTAATAGATAATATAATGTCGAATCGAGCAGGAAAAATCTGATTTGTCAATTGAGTCAAAGATATGTATCGCTATCTTTTTTATGTATCACTGCCTGCTTTAGCGTTTGCTTTGCGTGTCTGCAGGACCAGAACAGGTCACTTCCTTCAAACTTTAACGAGAAGGATCAACAGGTGCCTCGAGGGTTTGTCTAGTCGCACGACTAACTTGATCCTTTTTTAATCTACACCGGTCGAGTAGTGGTTGCCGATATAAATTAGCTTCGATCTGGACTTACGCGGTGCCGAAAAAAAAAAGAGTGAAAATTGCGGTATTAAAAACTACGCGAAAATTCCGAAATCAAACTGGTGCGCGGAATTAGTTTCGTAAAATTTTTCGCTTATCATGGGGATTACGTAGCTCGTCTATTGGCGATCACGCAATTCAATCATACTTTTAATCCTCCACCGTGCAAATCTATTTTTAAAGGGATGAATATTAATTTTTGTGCACGTGGAGAATCTTGAAAATTGACGTAGTTAAAAAAAAGCTTTGCTACTGAAACTACGAATTAATTTTACAAAATAACACTTTACATATTATAAGCTGTTACTATTATTCTCACAGGATACAAACTATAAATACAAAAAATATATTTGTATTTATAATGATTTAAATTTTTTAGTACATTAAACAGGTATCATCTGTTTCTATAATGCATATAAGTTAAAAAACGTAGATCAAATATTTTTAACGTAATTTAGTTTATAGATAATCAATATTGATTTTGGTTGGGACGCACGACTCTGCACATTTCGGATATCGGCGCAACTTATGTAGTGTATTCGGTTCTTAGAACATACATATATACATATATGGAAGGAGAATTGCTTATGCCACCCATGTACTATGCGAAGCCAACATTTATGTGAAAAGGGCAGTACACATCCCAAATGTTCGCAATGCGCATGCGTCAATACCGTCGTTAGTGTGATAGTTGTTTTAGTGTTTCTGCATGAACTTATAAAATAGACCCAGCATGCCCTTACGACAAAAGTGAAGCCAGCAGAACGAGATGCAAAACATCGATGAATTTTTGTTCTTCTTTTATGTGTGCATATTCACAGAAATAGAAAAAAAAATAGAAATATGAATACTTCATCGTTGTTTTTGCTCTCACTTATTCTCACTGATATATTGATTTCACTTCTACCACGTGGCCATGCCCC